CTACTGGCGAGACATTTTATTATTATGAGTCACTTTTAGAAGCACTTCAAAATCCTCTTACTGGGTAGTAATGGCGTACAGTATGGCTACACATTACTCATATACAAATATTATTGTGTCTCTGTGGGCTTGAGTGCCGCATATCTGCAGTGGGCTTGCCGCAAACGCAGAGGAACAGACAAGGGAAGAGAACTTGTGCAACAACAATCGCGTCAAGCATTGGCTTTGGTGACGATAAGTCCAATGCCAATTCATGACACTCGCTATACAAACAAAATGACAGTAATAATATGATCTATGTGGATATGATTGTTGTTGGTTTGTTGCTTTTGGCATTTTCACTAAACGGACTTTACTATCATATAATTTAATAATTGCAATTGTATTCGAGACTTATTTTTAACCAAGTACTTGATGACTGATAGTCGCGCTAGCAGAGTTTTAGACCAGTTTATATTTTTCCAGCACCATCTGCATATAAGTAAATATATTTACATACGATATAGAGTAGGAAAATATATACAAATATATAGGCTGAGCTCCGCATCGATTTTGTGGTTTTGGGTTTTAATTTTTTCCAAAAAATGGAAGGACCTAAAGTAAATTAATTCTAAGCCACATCCAAACACCCGGTATATTTATATAAGGCGTTTTTTATTTTCATGTCAGAAGTACTAACGATGACCTTGAAATTCCCTGCCAAGTAGCTAACGCAATCAAATCAATCAAATATTCATGAATATCTGAAAGGAATTGTGCTGAATCACTGACGGATTCACCCACAGCCTAAATCGCTTGCCGCAAAGACCTAAAACTTAGAGATTTTACTCTACGTATGACTTATGTGCACGGTGAGAAAGATTTTCTAGGATTTTTCCACGCGGACGAAGTCGCGTTCAAACCTAAATTTCGTTCAATTTTGAATTTTTTGTATTTGAGTAGGCAATGTTAACCACGCGGATAACGCGGCTGCCACTCCTACTTACTTCTCATTCAGAGAGGCTAGAAATATTCATCGTACGAAGGATATAATATACAAAATTTTTCTCAGATTTGTCAAATCGCAAATAATATTTTATTCATATTTACGCAGGTCTGACAGAGCTGCTTAGTTAGTCATAGCACTGATACCCAAAGTTCCACTCAAACAAAACCCAGAAAATCAGGAAAAGCCTGGTAAGCTTTAAAATTAGTCTAGTCAGTAAAATTACTTGAAAATAAGCGAAGCTCACAGTCTCTACAAAAAACTGTTTCAACTAAGTTGCAATTTAATACCGAAGACAAAGCACATGCCTATGTAGCGGCTGTAAGAATTTCAGATAAAGATAAAATTAAAATATTTTAATCAAAACTTAAACCTTTCATTTTTCTATTTAAATTTGAGTAAAATTTTTGCCATAGAAATATTTTCTATTAAAAATTAAAATTATCTTTACTTATACATTGCTATAAATTGAAATTAATAAATTAGTAAAATTTATGTCCGAGAAAATTAAATGTAAACATTTTGCTCGAAATTCCAGCAATAAATTTACTTATACACAAACATATTTAAAATTTAACATTAATCGCATGAATTTCGTTGTGACCATTTTAAAGTAAGTAATTTATTGTTTAGTGCTGAAAATTTGACCTCAAAATGGAAGAGCATGTACTTGAGCGCTAACCCACACATGGCGCTCCACATACACATACAAGTATATACATCTACGAGCAGTACAATTGCAAGTGTATTAGCAACTGCATGACTCATGCAACATTTATTGGATGCTGCTCTGAAATGCGATGCGACACTGAGGCACATATCAACCAACCAACACAACCAACTCCACCAAAACGAAGCAAAAGGTTTTTGAGGTTACCATACGAAGGGCAAAAAATAATATGATAGAAAAATACTTATGTACGAGTTCAAGTGAAAATCAAAAATCGATGCCTGCACGTAACCCATAAAATGGCAGAAACGATGTGAGAGCGTTAAACAAAACACAAACACAAATAGCAAGGAAATTGGCACAGCAACGGCGCCTGGAAGAAAACAAAAGCGATTGAGAGGGAGTTAATGCTGATGACATCCGCAACCAAGCAACAACGGTAAAAGCAGTTCATGGAATAAATTTGCCTGTGACAATTAAATAACACAGATTTACATACGAACAACTGTATTTACTATAAATGTGCGTTTGTTGTAGACAGGCATGAGTGCTTGATATATTGTATTATAAAAAAAAAACGCTCTACCCATTGTTGCGAATGAGCACAGCAAAGTGAAGTGATAATTATTTTATAATACGAGCAAATGAGCGGCATAACAAAATTTTAAATAATGAGGGGTTGCACAATAAGGTCGTTTTGTGTCAACAGGACTTAAACGGGAAAAGCTTTCTTGAAGAGAACAGCCTTTCATTTTAAATGAAATCAAACAAATAAATAGATAGTATAAAAAAGTAAAATAAACTAAAATATAATAAAATAAAATAAAATAAAATAAAATAAAATAAAATAAAATAAAATAAAATAAAATAAAATAAAATAAAATAAAATAAAATAAAATAAAATAAAATAAAATAAAATAAAATAAAATAAAATAAAATAAAATAAAATAAAATAAAATAAAATAAAATAAAATAAAATAAAATAAAATAAAATAAAATAAAATAAAATAAAATAAAATAAAATAAAATAAAATAAAATAAAATAAAATAAAATAAAATAAAATAAAATAAAATAAAATAAAATAAAATAAAATAAAATAAAATAAAATAAAATAAAATAAAATAAAATAAAATAAAATAAAATAAAATAAAATAAAATAAAATAAAATAAAATAAAATAAAATAAAATAAAATAAAATAAAATAAAATAAAATAAAATAAAATAAAATAAAATAAAATAAAATAAAATAAAATAAAATAAAATAAAATAAAATAAAATAAAATAAAATAAAATAAAATAAAATAAAATAAAATAAAATAAAATAAAATAAAATAAAATAAAATAAAATAAAATAAAATAAAATAAAATAAAATAAAATAAAATAAAATAAAATAAAATAAAATAAAATAAAATAAAATAAAATAAAATAAAATAAAATAAAATAAAATAAAATAAAATAAAATAAAATAAAATAAAATAAAATAAAATAAAATAAAATAAAATAAAATAAAATAAAATAAAATAAAATAAAATAAAATAAAATAAAATAAAATAAAATAAAATAAAATAAAATAAAATAAAATAAAATAAAATAAAATAAAATAAAATAAAATAAAATAAAATAAAATAAAATAAAATAAAATAAAATAAAATAAAATAAAATAAAATAAAATAAAATAAAATAAAATAAAATAAAATAAAATAAAATAAAATAAAATAAAATAAAATAAAATAAAATAAAATAAAATAAAATAAAATAAAATAAAATAAAATAAAATAAAATAAAATAAAATAAAATAAAATAAAATAAAATAAAATAAAATAAAATAAAATAAAATAAAATAAAATAAAATAAAATAAAATAAAATAAAATAAAATAAAATAAAATAAAATAAAATAAAATAAAATAAAATAAAATAAAATAAAATAAAATAAAATAAAATAAAATAAAATAAAATAAAATAAAATAAAATAAAATAAAATAAAATAAAATAAAATAAAATAAAATAAAATAAAATAAAATAAAATAAAATAAAATAAAATAAAATAAAATAAAATAAAATAAAATAAAATAAAATAAAATAAAATAAAATAAAATAAAATAAAATAAAATAAAATAAAATAAAATAAAATAAAATAAAATAAAATAAAATAAAATAAAATAAAATAAAATAAAATAAAATAAAATAAAATAAAATAAAATAAAATAAAATAAAATAAAATAAAATAAAATAAAATAAAATAAAATAAAATAAAATAAAATAAAATAAAATAAAATAAAATAAAATAAAATAAAATAAAATAAAATAAAATAAAATAAAATAAAATAAAATAAAATAAAATAAAATAAAATAAAATAAAATAAAATAAAATAAAATAAAATAAAATAAAATAAAATAAAATAAAATAAAATAAAATAAAATAAAATAAAATAAAATAAAATAAAATAAAATAAAATAAAATAAAATAAAATAAAATAAAATAAAATTAAATTAAATTAAATTAAATTAAATTAAATTAATTTAAATTAAATAAAAGAAAATTTAAATCAATTAAATTAAATAAAATTGAAAAAAAATATTTAAAATATTTTTTTTTTTAATATGAGATTACACAATTAAATTTAGTTAAATGAAACGAAATTCAAATTTTATACAAAAAAAGTAAAAGTGTTGCGATAAAATGTAATAATAATTAAATCAGGTTCTTCATATGTTACCATACCGCATGAATGTATGTAAAGAACACCAATCCTTGTCCCATATATTCAAAGGTAATACTGACGGCAAGTAGCTTGTGGAAAAAACTACAATGAAAAATACAGCAAAAAGTTAAGTTTACAACGCGCGAGTCAATTTAAAAAAAAAAAAAACACTCTAAAAACATTGCAAAAATGGTGGCGGCTAAAAGCTTTGGGTTGCACACGTGCGACTAACAACAAACAGAAAATTCAATACAATAACCAGCGTACGCGGCATTTACCAGCGCCAACAACAATAAAGCAACCATAAATAGATGAAAAGACAAACAGAAAATTTCACGCGTTTCAAACACACATACACACATACACACATACATTGTGTGCATACATTTATAGTTATGCAGCAATCAGCTGTTTGTGGTGTAAACAATGTTGCAGACCAAATGTTTTGGGTATATTTTTGCCTGCCACTCCTTTGCCTGTTATTGTCCCTGCTGCCAAGTAGAATTCCCAGTATTTTTTAGCCACGAGAGAGAATATATATTTTACACTCTCGCAGCTTCAATGGCAAATCTCGCGAAATCTCCATTTTATTGCTATGAAATCAAACAGCATCCCTGCTGTGTTAGCTAGTTGCGGAGTAACATTCAAACCGAACGGTACTTGTACAGCGGATACCACACGTCGTATGATGAACGTGTGACTTTCATATGAAAAATATACATTGGTGTGTAATTTAGTTCTACATAAGTGTCTGAGAAAGAAATATCTCAAATTACTGTGTTTGATTTCATAAAAGATTTCATTAAAGTACGTATAAAGAATAAAAAAAACTTAAAACGAGAAATAAACTTAAAAAAAAATTAAATTGTAGTAAAATTAAATTGAAATTTTAATTAAAATTAATTAAATGCATAATAAAAGTGAAATTATTTCAACGACTTTGTTCTCACCACAAACCGTTAAACACTTGCTTGCATAAGTTTTTGAGTCCTGTGGCTTTTTGTGTGTTACCATTGCGCAACTAAATTTTACTTATTCAAACGCGCATAACAGCGGTAATGGCCATATAAGGCAGTCATAGTACTCAAATAAGCCATATACAAACATACAAATGTGCATAGCTTTCAATGTCCTTAGAGTTTCAGTGCAAATAATAAATACTCTTGTGTACTTGAATACATGTTTATAACACGGCTCACTGAATTTATGTATTGCACGTACAATAACATACAATGGTTCATACATACGTACATACTTACAACCACTAGTGTATAAATCACCGTAGACGCTTTCAAGTGCAAAGTAATAAGCGTACACACTCGTACATATAGTGTAAGGCGTAGACAAAGCAGATTAAAGTGAACATTGCTGGTGTTATTCTGGCATTGAAGCCATACAAATAAATATATCGTACATCAACGCTGAGTGTGTGATCAGGTGAACAAGTGAGATTGCATAAATCATGAAGCAGTGCGTATGCTACTATTAAATATTTCAAATATTTCATGCAGATTTTCTACATGGAAGTATATACATATGTACATCTATCTTAACTAGACGAGATGACGGCGCAAAGTCAAGAAAGGTGAGCAGCACTAAGTGGCATTATAAGTACGGAATAAATTTAGTAGACTGTTTCTTAAAGTGTTTCGCTTAATATAGTTTCAACGTCTCTATGCAAATGTTTCAAGCCCGGTGTGACTAAATAGAATTTTTATGCAAAAATATTTAAATAAATGGTTGGTTGAGATAGCAGATGTACATACGGGAGTGGTTTGCTAAAATATGGAGAAAATGGAATTTGTGCGAAAAAAAAATTTCTTTCTCATCAAAAAAAAAAATTACTTAATATTTATTTATTTGTTTATTTTTTTACACCGACTGATCGGTGTATGCTATATCTGAGAAAAAATTTTAAAATAAATTAACAAAATATAATTTATTATAATAAAAATATTTATATTTCTTATCTAAATTTAGTAAATTTAAACTGTTTTCTTTCTCTTTAGTAAATTTCATTTTTTTATTATATAAAATAAGTCATGCAACTCTTGAATGCAACATAAACTGCAACATTAAGAGATTTTCGCCAAAAACTGAGTTAATTTAATTAGCACACTCATGCGTGAAAAAAAAATTTTAAATCTTTAATTAAATTTTATAAATAAATTCAAATAAATTTAATTAATTAGTTTTATTTGTAAGCAAATTACTCAGAAATACATACACATGCTCGTATGAACCAGTTCGAAATATTTGAATCTTAAAAATAAAATCTTTTATTTGACATCCCATCCCTTTTGGATAGTCTGAAATTTGCGAAGACGGATTATAAATCATCTTGATATGTTATTATATTATATTTGGAAATAGCGGAATTTCTATGTTATGACTCAAGTGACAGTAGTGCGAAATCAACGAGCGCCAGATCATTACAAAAATCTAGCAGCTGTTTGAAGTGTCTTTAAAATAAATTCTTTCAGCCGATCACCCTGCACACGTTATAGGTGCCATGAGAATCGATAAACGTTGATATGGCTGAAGATAATGCAAAACACCTTTATTTAACTACCTTCTTTATATAAAGAAGATATATGTATATACGTTTGATATATTGGATGAGTGCATAAGTTCGTGCCCGATTTCAAGTGCAAACTCAAATTGAAATTTTTTGAAGAAAGCGCTTTTATTAATCAAATATGTATTTGCAATCATGTTCGGCAATCCACTCCCAACGTTCAACCAATTTACGGATGCCTGATACATAGAAATCGCGCGGTTTCTCGTTGAAAAAGGTGTCAATGTGGTTTTTGACGTCTTCCACATTTTTAAATTTTTTTCCATTCAAATTGTTCTGCAGCGATCGAAACAAATGATAATCAGAAGGTGCAATGTCGGATAAATATGAGAGATGCGGCATGATTTCCCAATTCATCTCCTTCAGGTTGGCCAGGGTCGGTTTTGCAACATGTGGCCTGGCGCTGTCATGATGGAAAAGAACTCCTTTGCAATTGGCCAAAATCGGAAGTTTTTCATCAATTGTTTTCTTCAATTCGACCAATTGCTGACAATACTTGTTGGCAGTGATCGTTTCTCCAGCTGGCAAGGGCTCAAAAAAGATCACTCCTCGGATATCCCACCAAATGCACAGCAGTACCTTCATCGGATGCAATCCACCTTTCGACATCGGTTCCGCCCCTTTGTGTGCCTGTTTCCATGTTCTTTTGCGTTGAACATTGTTGTACAGGATCCATTTTTCATCACCAGTCACGAGCCGATCCAAGAAAGGTTCTTTTTTGATCCGTCGAAGCACAATACCCATCTTAACCCAGAAAAAAATTAAGTAAGAATCCAATTATTTAATTTATCGCCCTTTTTGTCATAAAAATCTTTGTTTTCATGTTTGTACTTGCACCACCAAAATTGGTCGGCAGATCATACTGAAAGTTTGTCATTCTATAAAAAAAACTTCTGAAAAGTGAACCAGAGACTGACCTAATCGAAAAAACTTTATATATTCTTGAATTTGTTTGTTTTATTGTATTTTATTTTATTTTATTTTATTTTATTTTATTTTATTTTATTTTATTTTATTTTATTTTATTTTATTTTATTTTATTTTATTTTATTTTACTTTTCTTATGAAATTTGCTATCTTTCCCTAACAGATCATAAAATCATCATTATCGTAAAATGATTTATACGAATAATAATTCTTAAAATCAGGTAAACTGAAATAGAATTCTTTTATTAGCTAATAATTATACATTATACAGTTTTTTTAATTCAATTTTATTATTTCAAAAACGACGTCGCGGGAAGACTTGAGGGTTGCGGACCAGTTCAAAAAATTTTGACTGAGCAGTAAAACTTCTGTGTACGGAAATGTCCAAATAATGTTTTAAGATAAATATATTTAAAAAATATTAAAAAAAATATCTCTTGATATGTTTGATTGAAAAGCCATGCCAATTGCGAAAATTTACTGTTTTACTATTGTGAGTTAAAGTTTGCTATCGAATCATGTAAGCGGCTTTATGTATGTGGAGTAGGAAGGAGTATTTTTCAACTGAGCTTATCCGCAGGTACTTTGAAAAGTAAAATTCTGAAACATTTCATAACCTCAAATTAGTCCGAAAAAAACTTAAATTTTATTCAAGATAATTTCTGCCTAGAAATAAGTTGAGCTATATATATATATATAATATAAGGGGTTTTAAACTACTCACTACTAGTTACTAAACATATTAGGTGCAGTAAAAAGTGATCCATTATTTTTCCAATTACATTATTTATCTGTATCCCGCGAGTGGAAGGCCCATAGACGAAAATGTCGATAAAAAGCATTGTGGAGTCCGCCCAAGACCTAATGATTGAATAAAAAAACCGTTGGGAACCATTCGAATTAGGCTGGATACAAAGAGTATAAAGTAAAACCTTAAGTTTTGTGCAAAAATAATGGATTTCTTTATACTACACCCAAAAGAATACCTTATTTTGTTGAGCGCAGTAATTTTAGCCATTTTTTTAATTTTTCTTATCTATAATAATAATTAATTATTGAAAATATGAATATTCCCTGATGACAGTATATAATATTTTGAACTAAAATTTAATATAATTTAATTTGTTGAATAAAGTAATAAATTTGAAACTGTCCATGGCGAAGGCGCTTAAGGCGAAAAGTTGGCCTCAAGAGAGGGCAGTAAAATTTGGCTCTCCGAGTTTTTTGCCAATAGGGACGCAGCCTTCTACAAGAGGGGTATAATTTAGTTGGCATCTTGAACAAAACGGCGTATATTTCACTTAAATCGGCCAAATGTACAAAAAGTTATCATATTTTGTTAAATCAATTAAAAAAACCGAATGAACTTTTTGCTTGACGTAATATATATATTATTTGCGCTTTGTAAACTAAAAAAAAAAAATTAACATTTGTATCCATTTGTGTTTGCTGTATGGGCTTGTGATCAGAAACGGGCAGTTGTCAGCTCGTAGGGGTACACGTATTTTCCATTCACGCCTACGGCCAGCACCAATTTAATCGGAACAAGAAAACCAGCGAGTATGTTTATATGTATGTAATATGTATGTAATATGTAGTATGTTATCTGCATAGTTTCGTAGTAAGAGTAATAGTCCATGGCGTCTAGTGCGAGACTGAAAATCAAGATAAATGTGAATTCAAGCAGCGCACTTTGCAACTACTCCACAGTCATATACTTTCATTACCAACTTTCAACTTGCAGCCAAGCGCTATCCATTACAGTTTTATTTTTCTTTCAACGGCGGCACAATTTTTTTTTTTTTTTTTTTTTTGTAAATTTATCTGTCTGTGGCGCGGCATGCTGAGATAAATGTATCTGCATAATGTGGATGGTAAAATAGTGTGATGGTAGAATAGTGTGTGTGTGTGTGTGTGTGTGTGTGTGTGTAAGTATGTATAAAACTGTTGTTGTGTGTTTTCATTTATTTTTTTTTTGTACATATTTCAAGCGAGCCTGCGCTTATTCGCCGTGTCCTTTACACACTTGCCTCATTTCTGCGCTTCCTTTGATTTTTTTTCTCTTCGTGCTTTTGCGTGTTATTTTTTTTCCATTTTTTTTTTTTTGGTGTTGATGTTAATGTCACATACTTTTGTATGTAAAAATTTTGTGCGAACGCCATGGTTTGTTGTTCTTATTATTATTATTATTATTATTATTATTGTTTCCCATGCCGCCGGTTCCTTTTTTCTCCTTTCAAACTGTATTTGTGTGCTACTATGTATGAAAATTGTTGTTTGTTGTTACACAACAAATTTTTTGTTTGTGCTGCGCGTGTGTTTTCGGCTCTCATTTCTATTAAACTGAATTTGTGTGCTTGTGACAGCGGTATATTTGTGTGTGTGTGTGTGTGTTTGTGTGTGTGTGTAAAGCGTAGCCGTGATTTTTTTAAACAAAATAAACGCCGACTTAGTAATTTTTCCCCCTTTTGTTGCTTTTGTTATTGCTGTCGACGTTGTCTCTGCTGTACTCCGTTACGCCTCAGTGCTTTTTAAATTACGTTCCATTTTTCTTTTCCCATTCTCTTTGTGGTGGCTAACGCTTTTCTTGCTGTTTAAGGTATTTTTGTTTTTGTGCTTGTTTTTAGCGTTAAATGTTTTTAATGCTCTTCGGTTCATAATTAAATGTAAGCAGTTTAGCAATGATCAATAAAGCAACAGTAATTAGGAGGGAAAAACCGGAAGAAAAATTGTATCTACACTTAAATTGTTGTAAATTAGTCTGAGTTCCACTTTTCTTTGTCCCAATAATCAGAAAACGGGGAGTAAAACTTTCAACTCAGCTAAAGAGGAAAAAAGGCATTTAAATATATTTAATATATATATTTATATGGATATATACAGTCTTGACCAAAAGTATTAGGCACCCCACTCATTACTGTATCCTTTGTTTCAACAAGTGAATCAACGAAGTTTTGTTATTAAAACAGTGAAAATATCAAATGATTTAGTGATAATAGCATTACATAAGAAGGTGCACCCTTCGATTTAATAACGGCAGCAATTCTCTTAGGGATCCTGCGTACACGCTTTGCACTTTT